CGGCGACGGCGGCGGCGGCGGCAAAAAAAAAAGGGGAGGCGGCGGCAGCAGCGGCGGTGGGGGAGGCGGCGGCGGCGGCGGCGGCGGCGGCGGCTTAAACAAGAAGCAGCTGCCGCGCCGAAGCTCGCACCTGAGGTCGGACACCTCCGGCGGTATGGTCTCGACCATTGCTCCGACAACGACGACAATGACGATGTCCTCGACGTCCTCAGCGACGGCGACCTCCACCGCGCCGTCCTTCTTCTCGTCGTCCTCTTCGATGACCATATCGGCGGCGTCGGGGGTGCCCACCCCGGACCGGCGGACGTCATCGAGCGCGGGCGTCGGCCGCAGCAGCATCAGGGGCAGCGGCGGCGGCGGCGGTGGTGGTGGCAAGGCCCCGCCGACCCGATCGGTGTCGTCGCCGCTCATGATACGCGACGAGATGTTTTCCTCGGCAGAGATCACGGGGCGCCGGAGGATGGGAGGGACGGGGAGCGGGACCGTGGGAGAGAAGGACCCGGCTGCGGCTGCGGCGGCTGCGGCGACGCCGGGGACTCTCCGGAACCTGCTGTCGTCGCTGCTGCACAAGAAGGTGTCGGAGAGGACCACGGTGCGCGAGGCCCAGGAGCACCCGTGGATGCGGCGGATGGCGTCGAGGAAGGGCGGGGACGGCGCCGGGTTGGACGGCCGAGGGGGAGGCACGAGGCGGGGTCAGCCCCCTCCGTTCAAGCAGGTGTGGTTGGTTTGACTCCGCGCGGCTATCGCTGTCGTTATTGATATTTCACCGGTGATCGGTCTCGTGGCGTGGGTGTGTGTGTGAGTGTCGCCTGACATTTGTTGGCTACAGGGTGGGCAGGTGGTATGGCACGCGGCATGTGTGTTCCTGGTTTAGTTTTGTCGTGCGTGTGCAGGTGGGTGGGTGGGCGGGCGGGGGGAAGTGGGAAATGCTGTAAGCTAGCTCTTGAAACTTTGGTGACGTTTTGTGTTTTGTCTGGCCCTCCCGTCGCATGTGTAGGCCTTTTCTATCAAATCGGGTGTTGACGCTTTTCGCCGCTGTTGGGCAGAGGTCTGCTTCCGGTGGCATACCTCTCGCCCCTTTCGCTCCTCACCACCCTTTCCCGTAACTCTCATGCTGTCCACCACCTTGTTTTTTTTTTTTTGGTGTTCCCCGAGAATCATGTGTTTTGATTCCTCGCGGCGCCCGAGCGCGCGCGAACAGCGTACGCATATGACGCCTCACATCCAAAGGAAACCTTTTTTCCCGTCATCGCCACCGCCACCACCACCGTCATCACCCAATGCCCAATGCCCAATTCGATTGTGTTGCCGGCTGATTTTGCGAAACTAACGCGACGACAGGTGTCGGTGACGGCGGGCGAGGTCAAGGGAGCGATCGTCCACATCAACAGCCTCTTCGTCATCTCGATGGTGAAGAGCAGGCTCACGCAGCGCCTCACGAGGGCACGGAAGAACATCGCGCGGCGGCGGCAGCAGGCCACGACCGGGGACAGATACGGCCCGAGCCTGTCGGACACTGAACAGGTGCGTTGGGTTGATGATGGGCGTGCTTGTTGTTGTTGTTGTTGTTGTTGTCTTGGCGTGTGGAGGTCGATTTTTTCATAAGTGTTTTCTTCTTCGAGTTTGGTGTTGTTCTCAACTGGAGTTGTTGGGCCTTTTTTTTTTTTTTTCGCGGCGGTTGAGTCTCTTCTCTTTGTTTTCTCTCTCGCGACGGGGCCAATTGTGCTGCCCCTACTGTTGCTGTGTCGCTCGTGGCTACCGCTTGTGTCAATCGCGGCTACCGCTTGTGTCGATGGTGGTGATGGACCACGTGGCATGCCGGATGATGATCTTGAATCTCTCACGATTGTCGATTCTTTGATGCCCCTTTCTTGACGGCCACCTTCGTGTTGAGGTCCATCAAATGTTGACGTCAACCTCGACGCTAACCCTAGGGAGCAAACACCTTTAACCTTGACGTCGACAGCCCAACGACACCTGAAAGAACGTCCTTCGTGACGGCTGTGCTAGGGTTAGGGCTGGGTCCACGTGAAGCGTTGTGAAACGTTGTCGTTGTCGTTGCCGTTGAACAGGAACACCTGAGGGAGGTCCGAGAACTTACCGAGGCCCTCACCAAGGACGAGGCAGTACTTATCAACCACGACCTCGCCAACGAGCCAGAACGATCGGTGAGGGGAAGGAATGTGGCGATACAGACACGACGGTTTTGGCGCGTGAATGTCGTGAGTTGATGGCATCGCCACATGACTTGATCAACGCAGGGAGATCGGAAGCCCGCACGGCTCGGCCAAGACTGAGGAGTACAGTGTTTTGTGTATCTCACGTGTCAACGTTACGCCAACGAACTGCTTGGGTTATGTACCGTCCGTAAGCCGCCGCCGGCCTTTGCACATGACCTTGCCCGAGTTGGGACGGATACCCGGCGCGACAACATAGATAAGTGCCCGCCGTTGCTGCCCTCCACAAGAGCCGGGCCCTGGTACGCCGACAAGCCCACTTTCTGCGCGTGTGTGTTTTCCTCACGAAACAACCACCCAACAAGGTACAGCAGCAGCAGTGCTCTGACGGATGCCAACCCGCCCCCCCCCCTTTTTCCCCGTGGTCTCGACGTTCCGCCCAAACCTTCTTTTCTTTTTTTTGATCTGGTTCCGTTTAGCTGTCAGACAGCGATTTACCCACGGCAACGTGCAGCGGTACCTGGGGAAGCCGAAACAGCGAGCACGCCACCGGGGATGGCGGAATCAGAAGCGACGACGATGGTGGTGGTCGGCAACGCGACCGTCGCGGTGGCGATGGCAGCGGCGGCCGAAGTCGAAGCGGCGGCGGTGGCGGCCGTAGTCGAAGCGGCGGCGGCGGTGGACGTAGTCGCGGCAGCGGCGGCGAGCGTCATCACAGCAGTCGCCGCAGCACCAGCGGTCCCAGTACCAGCGCCGCGCTGCCCTACCAGCTGTACGCTCGCTCTGCGTCTCGCGTGGCCGGTCGCGCGGGCGTCCACGACGCGATCACCAACTTCTTCGGCGCCCCCGGCGGCGCGGGCGATGGCGGTAGCGTCCCCGCGGGCGGCGGCGGTGGCGTCCCCGCCAGCAGCGGCTACCGCGCCAGGGGCGGCGGCGGCGACCCCAGGGGCGAGAAGGGACGGTCCTCGAGGACCCACAGCAAAGGCGGGCGGCGGCGGCGGCGACGAGAGAAGCCGACGGTGGCAGAGGAGGAGTCTATCCGAATGGCGACCGCGGCGGCGGCCTTCGAGGAGGAGGCGCCGCCCAGCGGTGGCGTGGCCGGCCTGACGGGGCTCACGTCGCTCTCGAAGAGCTTGTCGAACCAGCTGCCGGGGACCTCGGCGCCGCCGCCACCGCCACCGCCGGCGGCGCCCGCGGTGCCGGCCTTCGGCTTCGGCCCGGCGTGGCCGTTATCGGGGCTCGTTTCGCTGCAGAGAGACGCGTCGGGGGACAGCGTCGTTGGCCTTGATGGCAGCGGTGGCCACGGCGTTACTAGAAGGACGGCGGGTTCCGGTGGGTTGTTTCCGCCGCCGTCGGAGGCCGCAGAAGGAGGGGGGCAGGAGGAGGGGCAGGGAGTCGCGGAAGCAGCGGCGGTGGCGGAGGGGTCGAAGTCGCGGGCGAAGATATACTCGAGGGCGCGATCGATACGGTCTATCGCGAGCGCCCGAGGCTTCGAGAGCTCGTCTGGATCGGACTCTGGGACTCTCAGCAGGTGACGATACGGAAGCAGCGGTTTGGTAGTACGCAGATACATGCATGTGTTGGTTTCTCCTGGGGAAGCACGCAACGTTTTTCTACAAAACAACACATCGGCGCCCGCCCCCCCCTAGTCATCGGAGGAGCCACCACATCAAGATAAAAAGCGAACGCTTCTTTTCTATGTGGCGTGGTTGCGTTGTTTTACGTTCCACACGAATGACGGGCGACCGCGCGACAGTTTCACGCCAGTTTAAGGACTCTGGTTGCGTTGTTTTACGTTCCACACGAATGACGGGCGACCGCGCGACATTTTCACGCCAGTTTGAGGACTCTCACCTACGAGCGTTGTTGCAATCCACCCCTCTGACCAAACACCAACCGATCTTCAACGCATACGTACGCAGCGACTTTACTCCCAGCGACGAAGACGAGGAGGACGACGACTACTACTACGATGAGGACGATGACCGCTCCTCCGAGCTGTCCGAGAGAGAAGAGAGAGAGGAGAGGGACAAGGACGCCCTCAGCAGCATGCTCCGGTACGCGAATAGAAGCATGGCCAACTTCGGCAGCGAGGGCAGCAGCCCGGCCGGAAACAACCAGCGGACACGGGGCAGCTTCCGGGTGTTCGGCATCAAGCGCCGCACCCTCAAGATCAAGGTGGGCGGGTGGTGGGTTAGAGGGCGGCGGCAGCGGGGGAATGTAGGAGGCAAAGGGTTCGTGCTGCTGCTGCTGCTGTCGTTGTTGTTGTGGTCTTCACGTTGATAACCGTGGCTGCTGTTATTTTGAGAACGCAGGTTGTGTTGATTTGCGGTTGTGGCCGAAGACTTTCCATGCGGTAGCTTTGTTTGTGCCCGAGAGAACGCAGATCCCGCTTCCAATGCTGCTGCCTCTTGCGTGTGGTCTCGACTCATTTCACTATTTTGGCTCATCCGTCCCTCCTCCCCCCCGCTCTACTCTCTCTCCCTCTCCCCCCCCCTCCTCTCTCTCTCTCTCTCCCTCTCTCCCTCTCTCTCTCTCTCTCTCTCTCTCTCTCTCGCTCTCTCTCTCTCTCTCTCTCTCTCTCTCTCTCTCTCTCTCTCTCTCTCCCTCTCTTCGTGTGCGACCCACCTCTCCTCCGTGGCCGTCGTGCAGCAACAAATACCCAAGATGTCGCGCATGGGCATTTCCCGCAGCGGCAGCAACGGCAGGCGGGAGCGAGAGGGAAGGAGCGGGGCGGCAGCAGGCCGTCATTCCGACCCGGTGGTCGACGATGGAGTCGGCATCAGAGGAATGGTCATGGCGATGCCCATGGAGCGCAAGCTGATGTCGGTAGGTGTGGTTTTGCCATCATGATCGGAAAGTGGTCAAATCGCCAGCTGTCGCCGGACCTCGATGTGTGATGGGGCGCGGCATAACAATATATATATATATTTTTCAGCAAGTGTTGCAACCTTTGGGGGTATTTGGCCTGTGGGCGTGGGAGGATTGAGAGTCAGCTGGACCGGTACGGATGTTCGACGGTGCCGAGCAGAGACGCGAAAAGTCTTCCTATTTTTTTGACGTCATTCATGGTCAGGCGTAGGTCTTGGTGCTGGTGGTCTTCTGTCGCAGTCACCGTCACCCCCCGCCGCCTGCGGAGGTATTGTACAGTTCTTGGCCGGCTCATCCGAGCATTGCTGACCTTCTTCGTGCGGACGATACCGGTTTGGTGCTGGATGTGAATACGACAGCAGTAGCAGCACCACCACCACAACCATCAAGAAGTACATCACTGGTAGATGCTGCCTCCAGCCTGCCTGCCTCCAGCCTGGCTGGGTTATTCGGTTTATCCCATGCCTTGAGGACGGGTGCGGCGAGCCCACGTACCTCCTGCATCATTCCGTAACCTCTTGTGCGTTTTCCAAACTTGTGACAGCAGGTTGGTTGCTATAAGCTACTATTGGTTCCTGCCGTGGCTGGTACTAAACGCATGTTTTGTCCCGTTTTTGGCTCACTCGACAAGAGGTCCTGACTCGGTCCCTTGCACGCCTCTCCTTGGTCCTCTTGAACCCTTCCCCCCACCGTCCAAAGGATTCGCCATCAAGGATCAGCGGTCGGCTTAGCGGAGGCGTTCTCGGGATGAAGAGAGGCGGCGGGGCAGGGCCTCGAAGTGGGAAGTCCCCGGGCAGGCGTGCAGACGATAGCGGCGTCAGCGGCGGCACGCCGCCGGACGACGGCGGGACCCGGCGGTGGAGATAGCGGGCTCTGTCGTTGTGTCGCCTATGATGTGCCGCTGGGTTCTCGGTCACTTTAGTTTACCTTCCGTTTCCTTCCACGGAGGTTCCCCTTTTTTTTCTTTTTTTTTTTCCCTCCTTTTATATGTTTTTGCTGCTTCGATGGTTGCACTGCTGTCCTCCCAATGTGTCTGTGATACTTACGAGAAGAATGCTGATTGTTGCTCCAAGTTGTTGCGGCCTTCCTGCCGCTACCGTGTTGCATTTCTTCTGCTGCTTCTTCGCTTCTTCTATTTGGTTTATTTGTTCACCAAGAACGAAGCGAAAGAGCCTCAGCGACTTGGCCTAGCGTGTGCGTGCGTCGGCTTTGTCCCTCTTGGACGTTGCTGCCTGCGCTGTGTGTTATCGTCTCGTGGATGCTTCAGCTGCAATTGCTGCTGCAATTGCTGCTTCGGCTGCAGTTGCTGCGCGCTTTTCGTGCCCTCTCGCCCACAAACGAACACCCGAGATGAGCCGTAGCCACTCTGGGATGCGGTGTGTAGCAAAAGCAAAGCAGTTTAGCTTCGGACTAGACGGCAACATGTTTTCACGGGGGGGGGGGTTGAGGGGGCGTATCGTGGACGTGCGGGCAGGAAGATCCCAGCTCTCCCCCCCTGCATCCTTTCGAGGATCAAAAATTGGGGAGGGGGGGGGGGGGGGGGGCGGGGGGCCAAAAAAGGAATAACGCCTTTTCCGGTGGGGGAAAAAGGGTTTTTTTTTTCCTCCCCCCGTTTTCAGGTTTTACCGGGGGGGAGGTTTTTTGACCGGGGAGGCCGAGGGGAAAAACCCCGGACGGCGTGTTTTTTTTAAAAAAAACCCAAATTTTTTGGGGGAGAAAAAAAAAAAAAAAAAGAACAAACGGTTTTTTAACAATTAAA